TGACTCAGAGGTAGTTGCATCAGAATGGGTAGCTGATAGAGATTACATAGTTGTTGGAAATTGGGCAACAAATTACCCTTATCAAACGATTAGGCTACGCTATGATGAACAATTTCCACCAAATAGTGAAAACTATAATGCAGCCTCTCAAAACTTTACCCCTGATCGTGTCTATAGAACTTGCAAAGAAGTAAGGCTGCATGACAATCAGACGTCAAATTCTCACAACATTACTTGGCATTTCAATGTCAGTAAGAATGCCCAGCATTTTGTTCGAGTCCATTTCTGTGATATTATTAGTCAATCACCCAACACTGTCCAATTCGGTCTCTTTATATACAATAACTTCACCCAACAAATCGATCCTTACCAGTATAATATCATCAACACGGCCGTTCCATTCTATTTGGATTTCGTGGTTGACTCTGGTGAATCGGATTTCATTAGTGTTGGTGTCGTTGCTTGGGCTAACTCAACCGGTGATAAGTTTGCTTACCTGAATGGACTCGAGATCATGGAGTTCATCACTGAACCAGGTCTGGAGCTAGAGATTAGAGGGCCAAAAAGGAAGACTTTAGTGTATATCATAGTTGGTTCTGTCGCTGGGTTTGTTGTTATCTGCTGTACTTTGTTGGTGGCTTTCTTGTTGTTTAAGAAACGAAGAAAAGCTAAAGCTTTGGAACCAATGGCTTCATACGGTACCCTTCCTTTCAGAGGAGCAAGCCCTTACATCGGAATAAGCTCAAAATCTGGCCATCCCCCTCCTGTTCCGAACTTAAACCTGAAGTTAAAGATGCCTTTTGCTGAAATATTAGAGGCAACCAAAAACTTTGATGCTAAATTCTTGATTGGGGAAGGAGGCTTTGGGAAAGTCTATAAAGGGATTCTACGAAATGGTCTCCAAGTTGCAGTCAAAAGAAGTGAGTCCAAACATGGCCAGGGTCTTCCAGAATTCCAAACGGAGGTCATGATTCTGTCCAAGATTCGACATCGCCATCTTGTGTCCCTGGTCGGATATTGTGATGAAGGGTCTGAGATGATACTGGTTTATGAATTCATGGAGAAAGGGACTCTCAGGGATCATCTTTACAAGATGCAAGGGAACCCTGAGAAACCTTCTTCATTATCTTTATTGACATGGAGGCAAAGGCTCGAAATTTGTATCGGTGCTGCAAAGGGTCTCCATTATCTTCACACCGGTTCAGATGGAGGAATCATTCACCGTGATGTCAAGTCCACAAACATCTTGCTTGGTGAAGAATATGTAGCAAAAGTTGCAGATTTTGGGCTTTCGAAATCCGGCCTTCTCGATCCAGATGGGTTCAGCACGGGCATCAAGGGCAGCTTCGGGTATCTTGATCCTGAGTATTTTAGATGTCTTCAGTTTACTGAAAAATCCGATGTTTATTCTTTCGGTGTTGTACTCCTTGAAGTACTCTGCGCTAGACCAGCTATCATTAACTCGCACTGGAAGGAGGAGATAAACTTAGGAGAGTGGGGAATGATTTGGTTAAACAAGGGGGAACTTGAAAAGATCATTGATCCTTTAGTGACTTCCCAGATCAATCCTAATTAATTGAGAAAATTCAGTGAAATAGTTGAGAAATGCCTGAGGCCAACTGGATCCAGCAGGCCAACAATGCTCGACATCTGCTGGGACTTGGAATACACATTGCAGTTACAGCAAACTGCGGTGCATCGAGAACCTCACGAGGACAGCACCATCGATTCCTCTTTCAACATGTCGTCAAGACCTTTTCAGCGACTGCCTTCGAACAACTACCCAATCGAGAAAGTTGATGTGCCTTTGGAAAAAGATGATGGTTCAGACATAACAGAAAGTGGTGTATTCTCCCAGCTGAAGATTGATGATGGCAAATAGTCTAATTCGGCTGGTAATTTGTCTTCTTAGTCATTAGGACTGTACTGATGTTGTATTTATCTTCTGTTGTCTAAAAAACTATCTTAGAAGTGTATTCATTCGGTGAAGATATTGTCGTATATATTAACCATGTAATCTGGAAATCCTGAAGATAATTTATTTAATTTTGATGTCGATTCAAATAATAGGACATGAATAATAAAAGAATTTGAATTTTAAAATAGATTTATTAATTTAAATTCAAATATTCACCCTACCTGTTGATGCTGAACCATATAGTTCCACCAAAATGCACGTTAATTCACCTTGGACGCTTCCTATATATTTTTGATAAATTGAGAAGTATTTTCTAAACTTAAATTGACAAATTGCTTAGGGTTTTTCTCAGAGCCTGTTTTGGTCCATAAGTCTACAGTCTCCTTATGTTGACTTGTCTTGAACCTTTCAAATAATCATTTTGATTCACATAATGTCATTAGACTGAGTGAAAGAGAGAACATTCTGCAAAATTACTGCAAATCAATGGAGGATAAGGTTCATCAACCTCTAATTCTTCTTCTTTTTCTAGTCTTCTTCTCATCATTTCAACTACCCTCTTCAGCATACACTCTTCCAGACAAGTATTTCATCAACTGTGGATCCAACATCAACTTAAACATTGCTTCTCGGACTTATGTCGGTGACATGAATTCTAGGCTTGTCTCCTTTACCAAACAGAAGAGTATTGTCTTTGACAACAAGCAGGCATCAAAGACACCATCGGATTTGTATCGAACGGCAAGAACTTTCGGGCAGAAGTCTTCGTACGTGCTTGAAATCGACAGTAAAGGTTCTTATCTGGTACGTCTTCATTTCTTCAGTTCGATGAGTCTCTCTGCTGCTGTTTTCGATGTTTCAGCTTCTGGTTCCGTGCTCTTACATAATTTCCCAGTCCAAAACAGTAACAACACTGCTGTAATAAAAGAATTCATTTTAAGCATTCCTATAGGTGACTTTTCAATCAACTTTGTACCTCAAGGATCTTCTTTTGCGTATGTAAACGCGATCGAGGTCTTTCCGGCTCCTCCGGACTTTATTAATGATGAAGCTAGCAATGGTAACAAGGGTATACGCTCTCAAGCTCTGCATACAATTCATAGGATTAATGTCGGAGGCACTACTCTTACACCGCAAAACGACACTTTATTGAGAACATGGCTTCCTGATGATGATTATCTGCATAATCCACAGAATGCAAAGAACAACCACGTTTTAGCAGGTCAACCTAACTATTTGGCTCCGGTTAACAAATTTATTGCACCAGCTCCTGTATATATGACTGCTAAAGAGATGAATATAGAATCAAACAACTTCAATATAACATGGTCCTATGAGGTAACTCGGAATGCTCGGTACTTGGTTCGGGTTCACTGAGTAACTTCCAGTTTCTGCTCTATATAGATAGCTACTTGATCCAGAAAATCAATCCTTACAAAATAACGGGGCAATTGGTAACTCCATTTTATGTCGACTTTGTGGTTGATTCTGATGATTCAGGATTCATGAACATCTCCATCGGACCTGATAGTAGTTCTTCGATGCAAACAGCTTTTCTAAATGGGGTTGAGATAATGGAAATGGTGGGAGTATCTGCCTTTGCTACTGTTAGTGTTAAGCCGAAACAGAAGTCTGCCTTTGTTATTATCGGTCTGGTCCTTGGAGGTCTAGTTCTTGTCTGCACCTTTGGAGGTCTGTTATGTATTAGATTAAAATGCAGGAAGTCGAAATCTGTTGAAACTCCGAAGTGGCCACCGTTAACTGCCTATAAAGAAAGCACTCACAGTAATAGGAAGATGTCTCAACAGTCAAAGCTAAGCAGAGAGGGCACCGCCAGTGCCTCACCAGTCCCTGATTTGAATCTGGGTTTGAAGATACCATTGTTTGAGATTCAGTTAGCCACCAGCAACTTTGATACGAAGTTGCTGATTGGTAAGGGTGGATTCGGTGATGTCTACCGAGGAACTCTTAGAACTGGCATCAAAGTGGCTGTGAAATGAAGCAAGCCAGGGTCAGGTCAAGGCCTCCCAGAATTTCAGACAGAGATCATGGTTTTATCCCGAATTCATCATCTTCATCTTGTTTCCTTAATCGGATATTGTGACGAAATGTCTGAGATGGTCCTGGTGTATGAGTTCATGGAGAAAGGAACTCTAAGGGAACACCTATACAACTCAGAACTGCCTAGCTTACCATGGAAGCAAAGGCTTGAAATTGCATTGGTGCCGCAAGGGGACTTAATTACCTTCACAAAGGTGCAACAGGAGGCATCATTCACCGTGATGTCAAATCGACAAACATCTTGCTTGATGGGAACCTTGTGGCGAAAGTAGCCGACTTTGGCCTTTCGAGGTCAGGGCCACCTGATCAGTCCCATGTTAGCACAGATGTTAAAGGAACTTTCGGTTATCTCGATCCCGACTACTTCAGGACACAACAGCTGACAGAGAAATCTGATGTTTATTCGTTCGGTGTAGTTCTCCTCGAGGTGCTGTGTGCAAGGCCAGCTATCGATCCTACACTTCCAAGAGACCAAGTTAGCCTAGCCGAATGGGGAATCCTATGCAAGAAAAAAGAACTGCTAGAGCAGATTATCGATCCCTCCATAAAACTTCAGATCAATCCCAACTCATTAAGGAAATTTGCAGATATTGTGGAGAGATGTTTGGAAGAAGATGCTGGTGATAGGCCTACCATGAGTGATGTGGCATGGGACTTGGAGTATGCTTTGCAGCTTCAGCAAACTGCAGTTGTACAACAGCCACACGAGGACAGCACGTCCAATGTTTCTGCCATGTTGCTGGCGTCCGTTGTCCAGTGTTTGCCTTCAATGACTGCTCAGTTTCACAGCAATGATAAGTCCATTATAAGGGAGGATGACTCCGATTCAGTCCCATCAGCAAGTGAAGTTTTCTCCCAGTTGAGAATCAACGATGCCAGATAAATCGATCGGTTTACAACCCACCTCTTTGCCAATTTAACTTTCATTAAGTTATATCTGAAATCAAATTGTCAGTTCTCTATTAATGTTTGAACTGGTAGAGTTCATAGATTTACTAGATACCAGCTAGTTAAATTGTACTACAAGAGATTGTTTCTGAGATATAAAGGGAAATATTTAAAATCTTATGATATTCATATGCCTTAGTAGGCCTAACGTACCATTTTTACTCATTCTTCTTACCTTACCAAGGAGAAACAAAATAAAAGTCATTGTGATGGAATAGATAACTTGTGTTGCAAGACAATATTCCGGGTTTCAGTGAAACTACAAAGGTTTCTTTAGCGTGGGAGATAACGGGGGAAGCTATGGGTTGCATCCCGGAACACCAAAATCCGGAAAGTGATGATCGGTCGAAACAAAGAGTATTGTTGCAGCGGTTATACCGATCACTCGGTTGAAGATCGAATCTGATTCATTATGCTTTACTTCATTTGCAATGCAAACGCACCACAAATCATGGGGCTCTGATATTGATAGTAATCTACAGATAATATAAGAAACACAGCCTGTTTTGAAGTTGGAAAGGAAACAACAAAGCCAAAAACACTAGAAAATTAGTGTTTGCAACTTATAAAATACTCCATAATTTGAGAGAGAACAAATAATACTCTCTTTTTAACATGAAATATGCATCCCTAGGAAAGCCCTAACAATTCTTTGAGACATTTGCTATGACATCTACAAGACAGAATCAATAAATCTTCTAAAACTGTACCCATAAATACATAGCTTATAACATATACCACACCCCTCACCAATTACAAACCAGAAGAACTGGAGAAAAAATTAACATGAATCTGTAGGATAAATAACTAATGACCAGGGCCTTTTCTACTAGGTCCAGCAACAATATCAGTCGCCACTATCTTATCTTCTAAAACCCGACCCCTCCCATTTTCAGTCGAATCCAAACTGACTCGAACACCGATCGTTTTTATAGACCTAAGAGGCCTACAACAATCAACAGAAGCCGATTCCGAAAGAACAACCATGAACAATACAAGGAGGAGGAGACAGAAGCGTCTCATTGTGAACTAGATTGTTCTTGGGGACTATTGAGTCTTAAGGTCGATAGTCGGAAGCCTCCCCTTTGTATAATATAAGTTTCTTTAAAGGACTTTCAAAATATTCTGTCAATAAAGTGTGGAGCCAAAAAGAATGGTTAAGCTGAGCATCTCCATTGAATGAGGTACCTTCACCTTTTTATAACAATGGGGTTTGTTCTGAGTGGCCAATTAAAGGACGGTTTAAGGCTTTTTGAAGTTGTTCCATCAATGGAAGCTGTATTTGACTGATTTCCCCCCCCCCCATTTTTTATTAGTATTTTTTTGTGATCGTAAAGAGACGCTAAGTTGGAAAAGCTAACTAGTTTTACATTCACATCTTGTCTTTTTCAGAACTCTTATACTTTACAGCTCGTCTCCAATTCTGGAAACCAAAGTAGAACCTTAATAGTAATTCGGGTTTGATTTTAACAGTCTAAAAAACATAGTTTTGGTAGAAAAAGATGTTACTTTACTAGTACAATTTTAGGGTTGAAAGCTGTGGATGCCCACAAGGAAGATAGGTGTGGTATTCAAAGATGAAACAAATAATTTGGAAAGGAATAACGGGGGCGATAGAAAATGAGAGGTGGAAAGAAAGAACAAAAAGTAGACATCATTGGTTATTCTTGATGCCTTTTCATTGGTAAAGGAAAGTGAAATCACATAGCCCGACAAGGACGAACCATTTTTTAAGTTTGAAAGTGTTTTATGCTCCAGACTCGGAGCTGTGTACGTCCTACTCTTACTCACCTAATACATACCGTATTATAGTTGTCAGATACACCTCCCAAGCAGTATGTGTTTGAGTCTTTCATTTTATCTTCCAACTTTTACATCACACCCCATATATGAGTATATATTGTTCGTACAACAGATGTAGATTATATTAACAATTCAATTTATATTTGTTTTATTCTTAATACGGTACAATTTATGTTATATAAATTAAACTATATCAAATTATGATAATATAACTAATTAATAGCTATTGAACATCGGTGTTGACTGAGGGATGGAGGTGAACAAAATGGTGGCGTTAAATTAAGCATGTATGAATATAATTTTCCAGAGAAAGAGCCAACCAATGTGGGGAATCTAATATGAGAGAAGGTGAACAAAAGAAAACCTTAATTAATTGGTCCCCAAGAATTGGAGGGTCGGGGGCTGTTCCATATGTTAAAAAACACAATACAAAAATAGTAAAAGGAAACTGATGCTAAGACATCAACGTGACAGTAGTTAATGCTCTAGTGATCATTTTGTGATAAATCAATACTATAATATAACTTTTAAAAGTTGAATGGTTAAAATAAAAAAAAAAACAATAGTGGTCAGCGATAAAATTTGCCCTAAATTAAATTATTCACTTTAATCTTTATTATTAGTTTTATGTCAATTTTAATCATAACTATTGTAATAAATGACACCATAATACACTATAATGGGCTCAAATTAACAGGTAATTTTTTGCTTATGCAAAATTTTAAAATGATTTATACTTGATTTCAAATTAAAAGTTTAAGTAAGATTAGGGTTTGGAATTTAATATTGTGAATGAAATAAATTGAGTTGAGAGAATCGTCTTTATAATAAACATCTATGATATTTTCTTCCAATTAACTGATTAATACATAAGATACCGATAATTATATATTAGTTATATAAAATCGTTGCTTAACGGCTTAGGTTATGTGCATCAAAGATTGTATTTGCTTTTTTTCTATGCAAATTTGAAAGTATAGGATTAAATTGATCACAATTAAAATGGAGGGCACAAAAAGAATATTCCAATTTAGTTTGGACCTGTCAAAAATTATACCAGTAGTCACACGTTGCAAATTGCAATCATTCATTCCCTCAAAATTCCAATTGGTAGGTACGCACTTCAGCTGGACCTTAGCCAATCCATGAAGAAATTTATGAAGAATTACAATCCCATGAAATATTCTGATTGCCCGCTTATGGTAGTTTTAGATATAAAAACATAATACAAATATATTATATTCAATAAATATAAAAAGATGCATTTAAAATGTATATTAAGTTGTTATTTAATTACATATCAAATAACTTGAGTGGTTAAGAGATTGTTATTATTCTTTAAAGTTTTGGATTTGAGCACCACATGTGTAATGACATAAACGTTTATTTTCAAATGGTTGATAGTCTTTGAATATCTATTATATTGTATTTGCCCAATTTATGTATTTATTAAAACAATAATATTCTATTTATTCTTTGCTTTGCGCCACCTACAATTTTTTTTATTTGTATTGACTGACAACGCCATTGATTTTAATGTTATTCATCGATTGTCAATATTTATTATTTTTTTTTATTTTTTTATATCGCATTTTTTACTTTTTTTATTTTAATAATTTTATTTTATGACATGATTTCATATATCTTTATGACACTTTTTTTTATGTCTTTTGACATATTTTTTGTATTTTTATTGGTCATTTTCATCAATTAATTTTCTCATTGTTGGATTTGATATCGTTCCGATTGATCAAGACACCTATTTGTTATCCTATTGATCTGTCCTACTTTGGACTCTTATATTGGATTTGGATATGCGATTTATGTTTGGAGATGATTTTCTCACGATGTTCGTTCTGATTTACGATTTTCAATGTCTTTCAGTAGCTAGATCTCCTTTTGTGGTTTGTTTGTCAATACAATCAAATCTATTCGTATTAATATTTTGTTCGAATTTTTTGGATTAGTTTTTTACCTTTTCTTTGTGTGATTCTTATATGATTTTTGATAACTAATTTCTAGTATTAATGTTATGAAAAATATCTTGTGTACTTAATTTGTACTTATAATTAAAATCTTCGTGATAATTTTAAATTTTTATTCTTTTTCAATAAAATTAGTTGTTTCTATTGGCGTAAATAAAACAATTAAACCTGTTCGAAAGGTATTGACGATGAGGTTTTACCCTCCTTGATTCACAATGAAGTTTTGGTGTGGGCATGACTGATTTTATGGGCTTTTAGTGAAATTAAGGTCCAATCTATAATTGAAAATTCAAAGACCATACCATTTTTGCTGAACTGAGATATTAGAATGCCCAGCGACATTAGCAGCATCTTCATAGGTCATATAAAATAATAATAAAATATTAAGATTATGTGTATTTTCATCAAACTTATTATATTATATATATACAACAATAATTTTTTATTTTTTATAAACTATTAAAATTATTATTCATATAAAAATTATATTATAAAAATGAGAAAATAACCCCAGTGACCAAAAATGCCTTATAATATACGAATTTAACCAACTTTTTTTGGATTTGCCAAAATGAACAACAAATTCGCAACGCGAATTCTAATTTCGCAACCAAGTTTCCAATTTCGCAACGCGAATATGTAAATTGCATTGCGATTTTCCAAATTCGCGTTGCGATTTTCCAAATTCGTAACGCGATAATCAAATTCGCAACACGAAAGTCAAATTCGCAACTGAATTTCAAATTCGCAACAGGTTTTAGTTTTGCAACACAAATGTTTTGGGTATATAACAACGCAGCAGCAGCAACTCATAACCTAAATCCCTAAATCGCAACTCATTCCATCTCCATCTATCACTCTCTCCGGCGACATCCGTTCCTATATCCAACGACATCCTTCCCCATCTCTATTTTTTTATATATAATTTTATTTTTATATAATTTTTCAATGATTTCTCTCCTAAATTATCAATTATCAACTTAATAAATGTATGTTTTTCTCTAAGTTAGTGATGATATCTAGTTTATAGCTCGTTTGTTTAGTAAATTAATTTACAATTTTTAGAATGAAATCATCTAATGTTGATCATGTTTGGATAGATTTGTGTTTTGGAGGGTCATGGGAGAATGTTCATGGTGTTTTACAATATGTGCCTTTACCAATGAATCTTCAACTAAAAATGTCTTTAAAAAAGTTAACTTATGAAACTCTAATGTTACGTGTTGCAAATAAATTGAATTTAGAGCCTCTAAGTGGATTTAGGCTATTTTTATCTGAGAAAAGGTAAAGTTTATTTGTTAACCGACAATGAAGATGTTGAACGATTCATTGCTTACATTAGTGTTTCGCAAGAAGATGATGTTACATTGTATGTTGTTGAACCTAGAAGTAGTGAAGTTGGGTCAGTAGCGGGTAGTAATCAACTTAGTTCTTCAACCCAAAATTTAATGGTTCCACCACAATTTCATCACCAAGCAAAATTTATTTCACCACATTTCCAATACCAAACACAATATCAAACACAATCTCAAAACCCACAACCTTTTTCTAATACAAATCCCAATCAACTTTCAGCACCAAATTCTGATTTTCGTATTGACAAGTTAGACGATTATGAGCCAACAAAAAAAATTGTGAGTACTAGTCAGTATTCGAAATTTGATCTTGGTCAATACCCGGACTTTGATCTTGGTCAATACTCGGATTTTGATGATGTGATGGAAGAAGAAACATACCCTGCATGTAATGATTTTGATATTGGTCAATACCCGAATTTTGATGATGAAACAACTGCTGCCGAGGAAGATGTTGTTGATGATAATGAGGAGGAAGTTACGACTGTGAATGAACATGTTGAACATCCATTCTGTAATTCATATAACCCTGAAGAAGAAGAAAAAGAAAAAGAACAAGAACAAGAACAAGAAGTCCCCGAAGAAAGGAAAAAGAAGAAAATGCCACGGGAGTATAACTGAAATATGCCAGAATTACTTTAAATATCAGAAGAAGAGTTGGTAAAGATATCAGTTGATTGTTACACAAAAGTTATTCGTATCAAGAAAGATGATTGTTTTGATACAAAGGAAGACTTGAAGATAACTTTGTATACGAAATGTGTGGAAGATGGCTATCAACTAAGAGTTAACAAATCAAGCAAAGATCGTTTCGAAACAAAGTGTATGATTGACAAAAATTGTACGTGGCGTATGATTGCAAAGAGAATAAAAGATTGCAAAATGTTTCAAGTTAGGACTTTTATTGATAAACATACATGTTCAAGAACCCAAGTTTTTCCTCACCATAGACAGGCAAACAAAAAGATGTTGGGTGGTTTTCTGGCTGAGTTAATGTTTTTGAATGGAATGGTATATCGGGGACATCAAATTATGACTGACATGAATGCTCGGTTTAATATTAGTATCTCATATTCTCAAGCTTGGAGAGACAAATATTATGCCTTGGAATTGTTGAGGGGGTCTCCAGAAGCATTGTTTGCCCAACTGCCGGCTTATTGTCACAATTTAAAGCTGAAAAATCCTGGGTCGGTAGCTCATATCAAAACAGATAGAGATGGACGCTTTGAGTTGTTGTTTATCGCCATTGGTGCTACGGTTAGTAA